GGGGAGGGCGCGACCCGGCGGGGCCGGGCTCCCTGCCGAGCTCCCGCGGCCGGGAGGGAAGGTGGGCGGCCCTGGGGCAAGGTCTGCCTTTTCCTTTCTAGTTGATGCCCACTTTTCTGTTTCCTTCAGAAGGTTCTCCGTGCAGAGATGTGCCCGCTGCCACCTTGGGATCTCAGCCTCTGAAATGGTCATGAGAGCCAGGGAGTCGGTTTATCACCTGAGCTGCTTCACTTGCACCACCTGCAACAAGACTCTGACCACAGGCGATCACTTTGGCATGAAGGACAACCTGGTTTACTGCAGGGCTCACTTCGAGTCCCTTTTGCAAGGAGAATACCCCCCTCAGCTGAGCTACACCGAGCTGGCTGCCAAGAGTGGAGGGCTGGCCCTGCCTTACTTCAACGGCACTGGCACCGTCCAGAAGGGGAGGCCCAGGAAAAGGAAGAGCCCTGCCTTGGGAGTGGACATCGTCAACTACAACTCAGGTGGGAAACGCACGCCGAGCCTCCCTCCCGCTCCTCCGAGAAGAGGGTTCTCGGGCTTCCCCTCAGCTAGGCAGTGCGCGAGTAACTCGGCCAGGCCAAGTCTTGCTTAACCATTGGAAAATCAAACAAACAGCCCTCTGAGGGTTGGAGCGTTTGCAGGAAAGCTAACAGCAGTCCTCCTCAAAGCCTGTCTTTGCCTATTAATGTCAAATACCCAAACTTAGCCACTTCCCAGGGTAAAGACAAAAAAAAGGAAAAGGAAAAAAACCCTCCCAACCCCAAAACCACGGCGTTCTTTCTCTATAGGAACCTCACAGATACTGTTATCATTATCTATTAGCAAAAAGCACTTCACCAGTTAGACCTCAAATTAGAAGTAACCGAGCGGATCAGTAAAAAAAATAGAATAAAAGTTATAGTATATGGCTGCCACAACACCACTGCAGTATGCACATAACCTGATATAGATATTCAATTTATAGTAATTAATTCTGCAGGCTAAATAATCCTGTTTTACTGGCACATAAACGATCAAACTGTACAAGAGGCCAACGAATAAATGTTGTTCCCTGTAACTAAGCCCTAACAAACGTAATTAAGGAGAATGGTTTCTGCTCTCTCAACGGTAGGAAAGGAACAAGTGTTGCCCCGTATTAAATTTCTTCCCCAACTCCAGTCACTGAAGTAGCCAAACCGTGCCTAAACACACAGTGTTAGGGGCCAGAGGTAAAGGAGTTTCAGGTATGAGCAAGCACTTTAAGCGGCGTTTCATTAGACGGAAGACGAACGCAGTAAGGGTAAATCCGAGTTAACAAGCTACCCGCTCCAGAAATGATTTTAGCGAAACTTAAGCTCCCCATGGACGGTAACGAGGAAAGAAGGGTGTGGGCAGCAAGAGAGGTGCGAGGTGTTTCCCTGTGAAGCGGGGAGCCCTTCGGCCGGGGTAGGGAGCGGGGGGCTCCGGTCCGGGCAGCGGCGGGGCGCTGGGAGCC